GCAAAACAAGCCCACTTTCCCAAATCAGAAAGTTCTGATGGCACTGGCAGATAATACAAAGGGTCGTAAGAAAGATCTTGGAGATCCAAATGCCAATATTGCCTATCCCAAGCTGAAGCAACCAGAATGACAGTTGTATAAGTATCACTAGTGCAAAATCATACTGCATTTCTTTGTGTCAGGCCAATATTTCTTATTCAGTTTCTGACCATTCTTGCTCTGGAAACACTAATAAATCATCTCAGAATAAGGCTAGCCAGTGTGTGCGTCAAAGGGCCAAAAATATAAATAGTTTTAAAATTTTGAGTGGGGTATATTTTCCTGTTTTTCATTGCTAATAGTTTCTATTTACAATAAAATAAAACTATAAACAAGGGATTCCTAAAGAGTATGTACAGTCTGTCAGATTCAACTAATAAGTCTGTCCTGGATATTTTTCTTCTCTTCATGGTTTTTTTGGGGAAAAAATCCAAATAAATTAAGATAGCAAAAGTTCAGTCTGAAGCTCAATGGAGAAGGGCAGTCCTAAAAAGGAAAATACCTATCACAGTCCCATCACCATTCAAAGCTCTTGTAAATGGTCTAAAATTTTCTCCCCTAAAATCCCAACTCTGTCCACAGTATGTGCACTATGTGTAGAAGAAATGTTTTTGAGTTGGTATTATTAAATGAAAGGCACACAAATGCGTTTTTCTCTCAAACAGTGGCTGCCCAATAAGGTAATGATTTCATTCACATATTCTGAATCAAAGATTTTAGAATTGTCGTACTAATAGTGTAGTACCAGGCACTTGCTGGAGAGCTAGCTAGTCACATGGCACTAGCTCTTCCTCATTTCCAGCAGATACACTATATTAAAAGAAGCCATACAGGAATACATTAATACTTCTCTAATATTCCTTGCCTATGTAAGTAGCAACTATGGATGCCACAGGGATGCTCTGCTATCATAGATGTAAAAGTGGTGGTGGTGCAAGCAATTCTGAATGGGATGGGAAGCTGGTGCACATAATTTCTCTATTCATATTTTGACCAACTATGAAGAAGTCTAAGAAACTCTTCTCTAGGCTACAAAATTCACCATAAATAATTGAAAGTGGGCTGAAATAACCGCAAATAGATCTGATAATATTTCAGTGTGTTTGATGATTACTGTAATTTTAACATAATGATAATCTCTTGTGAACAGGAATTTTTAAGGTTCACAGAAATAATATAAGATTTACTATATTGTCAGTCACTTTACCTATAAAACCTGCTTTCACTGCTTTGAGAGGAAATCCTAAAATCTCACTAAAATAATTACAGATAAATAGCAAGTACAACAGATGGAAAGGTAATTATCCAAGCCTAGCAGTGAGTCCAGCCAAAGGATCTTTCAAGAGACTTCAAGATGACAAGCATGGTGGGACTTACAAGAAAGTTACAAATCATGTGATTTGCCAGGCATATCATTAATCTACTTCTGAGAAACAACACTGCCATCTGTATTGACGAAGCATGAGAGGAACTGAAGTCATTACATGTCAGTAACTTTTCACTTACTTAAGGTGAAGTGCTTGTGTGATTTCTGTTGACTGATAATCTATGTTATAACCATTCCACCAGGAGTAGCCTTTACCACTTGATGAGAATGAACAATCAGTAGTCTATATAAAAGTTTGCTTCAACTACAAAACAGAATTATCAGCATCTGACATGAAATCAAGCACTATAAGTTTCTGAGTAGCAATTTTTATTAGAAGTTTAGTGTTTTTGGAGGGAATTCAAAATAATTTTCTATTATAATTCTTAAACCCAAGGTACTAAATATCTATATAAACAATTAAAGCTTTCTATGAAAACAGTCAAATGGTTAACTGAAGGAAAAACAGTCTTTTTATAGAGGTTCTAAATGTTGAAAATAAAACAGGCATGGGTCCAGGTGCTGACATTTTCTTCCAAAGAAATTAAAATGGATTTAAAAAAAATATGAATACTAATATTATGGGATTTTTGCTTCTTTAGAAATTGTGTATATTCTTTATAAAAAGAAATGTTTACTTAAAGGGGAAAAACAGGTCTCAAAAATGTTTTTATACAGGGGATAGTAGAGCCTAGACAAACAGTTAAATTCAAATTCTGGATGGCAAGAAGTTATATTTGTTTGACTCACCAATCTTTTGATGATTCTCAACAAAAGCTTCTGCTGTTTTAGATCCCTCTTGGACTTCAATACTTCAGCAAAGCTGTCCATGTTTTCTGGAGACATACTGTCCAAGTTGTCTCCTCCGTACAGCTGAACCAACAATGACAAGCATTGTGATGCAGTCTCATATATTTCAGCGTCGTCACTAGGAAGCTAAAATAAACAAATAAATAAGCTTAAATTTCATAAAATTCTGTACCACTGGGATCTGGGAAGAGCATTAAAATTTCCATTGTGGTAGGAAGCAAAATTTTATAGTCATCCTAATTAAAATCACATTACTAAACATCAGCAAACTTTTAAAGTGATTGAAAGACATAACTAAAATACAGCTATTTTTGATCAGCAGTATATAAGTGTCTACAGTATGCTTGGTTTATTTCACCTAGTTAACCTACCTACAATGGCATCAAAGGACTCTTCACATATTGCTACTGTTTCTGTTTAATATATTTTATTGCTGACTTTTAGGACTGTGCAATTTTGCTTCAAACAGCATGAATAGAATTTAAGATTGATCCTCTAGTCTGACCTCTTGCATAATACAGGCTATGGAATTTCATCAAGTTTTTTCTGCATCTAGTCTGTAACTTCTGGCTGAAAGACATCCAATCTTTGTTTAAAGACTTCAGCTGATGAAGAATTCACCACATTTCTTGGAAAGTTGGTCCATCTAGCCATTGGTTATTGTTATGCCTTAATGTACTAGATTAAAATGCCACCTAATGCCAGATATCTTCTCCCCATGCAGGTACTTATGGACCATAATCAAGACACTTAACTGTGTCTGGGATAAACTCAATAGATTGAGCTTCTTAAATCTCTCTCTAAGGCAGGATTCCCAGACCTCAAATCATTCTTGCAGCACTTTTCTGAACTTCTGCCAAATTTTCAAAATCCTTTTTGAAGTGTGGATACCAGAACTGGACACAGTATCCCAGTAATAGTCTCACCAATACAGTATACCGAGGTAATGTCACCTCCCTACTTCTACTCAATTATTCCATTCCAATAACCATTACTCAGTTTATCACAAAACTACTACTAAGGCCATGTCTACACTATGAAAGTGCTCTGATTTTATAGAAGTCGATTTTTGGGAACAGATTGTATAAAGTCGAGTGCATGCGTCCACACTAAGCACATTAATTCGGCGGTGTGCGTCCACAGTACCATGGCAAGTGTCAACATTCCGAGCAGTGCACTGTGGGTAGCTATCCCACAGTTCCTGCAGTCTCCGCTGCCCATTGGAATTGTGGGCTGAGCTCCCAATGCCTGATGGGGCCAAAAATTTGTCACGGGTGGTTATGGGTAAATGTCGTCAGTCAACCCTCCCTCCCTCCATGAAAGCAACAGCAGACAATCATTCTGTGCCCTTTTCTCTGGATTGCCCAAGCAGACGCCATAGCACAGCACGCATGGAGCCCGTTCAGCTCACCGCAGCAGTTATGACCATTGTAAACACCTCGCGCATTATCGTGCAGTTTATGCAGAACCAGCAGGCGAGGAGGCGACGGCAGCGCGGTGATGAGGACATGGACACAGATTTCTCTAAAACCGCAGTCCCCAGCAATTTGGAGATCATGGTGTTACTGGGGCAGGCTCATGCCATGGAAGGCCGATTCTGGGCCCAGGAAACAAGTATAGAGTGGTGGGCCCGCACTGTGTTGCAGGTTTGGGATGATTCCCAGTGGCTGCGAAACTTTCGCATGTGTAAGGTCATTTTCATGGAACTTTGTGACTTGCTTTCCCCTGCCCTGAAGTGCAAGAATACCAAGATGAGAGCAGCCCTCACAGGTCACAGGCGAGTGGCAATAGCCCTGTGGAAGCTTGCAATGCCAGACAGCTACCGGTCAGTCAGTAATCAATTTGGAGTGGGCAAATCTACTGTGGGGGTTGCTGTGATGCAAGTAGCCAACACAATCATTGAGCTGCTGCTATCAAAGGTAGTGGGAAATGTGCAGGTCATACTAGATGGCTTTACTGCAATGGGATTCCCTAACTGTGGTGAGGCTATAGACAGAACACATATCTCTATCTTGGGACCGGACCACCATGGCAGCCAGTACATAAACCGCAAGCACTGGTGGATCACAAGGGACGTTTCACCGACATCAACGTGGGATGGCTCGGAAAGGTTCATGACACTCGCGTCTTCAGGAACTCTGGTCTGTTTAAACGGCTGCAGGAAGGGACTTTATTCCCAGACCAGAAAATAACTGCTGGGGATGTTGAAATGCCTATAGTTATCCTTGGGGACCCAGCCTACCCCTTAATGCTCTGGCTCATGAAGCCGTACACAGGCAGCCTGGACAGTAGTAAGGAGCTGTTCAACTATAGGCTGAGCAAGTGCAAAACGGTGTAGAGTGTGCATTTGGAAGTTTAAAGGGTCGCTGGAACAGTTTACTGACCAATATTCCCATTGTTATTACTGCTTGCTGTGTGCTCCACAATCTCTGTGAGAGTAAGGGGGAGAGGTTTATGGCAGGGTGGGAGGTTGATGCAAATCGCCTGGCCGCTGAATACGTGCAGCCAGACACCAAGGTGGTTAGAAGAGCACAGCACGAAGCGCTGCGCATCAGAGAAGCTTTGAAAACCAGTTTCATGACTGGCCAGGGTACTGTGTGACACTTCTGTTTGTTTCTCCTTGATGAAAATCCGCCCCCTTGGTTGCCTCTAAATTCCCTGTAAGCCACCCACCCTCTACGCTTTGATCACAGCTTGCTTGCAAAGGAAATAAAGTCACTATCATTTTAAAAACATGTATTCTTTATTAACTGATTATAAAAATAGGGAGATAACTCACAAGGTAGCCTGGGTGGGGTGTGGGAGGAGGGTAGGAGGGAAGGAAAAGGTAACTTTAAAATTTCTTGAATGATAGCCTTCTGTTGCTTGGGCTGTCCACTGGGGTGGAGTGGTTGGGTGCCCGGAGCCTCCCCCTCCCCTGCGTTCTTGGGCGTCTGGGTGAGGAGGCTATGGAACTTGGGGAGGAGGGAGGGTGGCTAAACAGGGGCTGCAGTGGCAGTCTGTGATCCTGCTGCCGTTCATGAACCTCCACCCAACGCCGGAGCATGTCCGTTTGATCCCTCAGTAGCCCCAGCGTTGCCTCATGCCTCCTCTGATCTTCCTGCCGCCACCTCTTCTCATGTTCATCGGCCGCTTTCCTGTACTCTGCTATTGTGTCCCTCCACACATTCTGCTGAGCTCTGTCAGTGTCGGACGACTGCATGAGTTCAGAGAACATTTCATCGCCCGTGGTTTTTTTTGCCGCCTTATCTGAGGTAGCCTTTGGGATGGAGGAGGGAGGCTTGAAACATTTGCAGCTGCTGGAGTAAAAAAAAGGAGTGAAGTATTTTAAAAGATACATTTTACAGAACAATGGCTATACTCTTTCATGGTGAGCAACATTATTCACATAGCACATGTGATTTTGGTACAAGGTTGCATTTTGCATCTTATCTTATATTGAGTTCCTGTGGCTTTGGTGTTAGAGATCACACACGCAGTGCTGGGCAACAGAATTCGGCTTGCAGGCGGCCATGGTAAGCCATAGTCTTTCGGCTTCTGCAACCTTCATAACAGCAGCGCCCTCCTCTCCCGTACCAAGCAAAGCACGTTGAGTTGGCCATTTAGTGCTGCGGTTTTCCTGTTAACATGAAGCAGCAGAAACCAAACTAACCCCCCACCCCAGCCCCATCCAATTCTCTGGGATGATCACTTTACCCCTCCCCCCATCGCGTGGCTGGTATCAGGGAAGATCCCTGCTAGCCAAACGTGAACAGCTCAGCGCCAATGCCCCGCCCCCCCCCCTCCACTCACCGCGTGGTTAACTGCGGGGAGGATTTCTTTTCAGCCACAAGCAAACAGCCCAGTAGGAACAGGCACCTCTGAATATCCCCTTAATTAAATTCCCCTATTTCAACCAGGTTACCATGAACGATATCACTCTCCTGAGGATAAAGAGAGATAAAGAACGGATGTTGCTTGAATGCCAGCAAACACCGGGACCATACGCTGCCAGGCTTTGTCATGCAATGATACCAGATTACTTGCTACTAGCATGGCGTGGTAAAGTGTCCTACCATGGAGGATGGAATTAGGCTTCTCTCCCCAGAAACCTTCTGCAAAGGCTTTTAGAGTACCTCCAGGAGAGCTTCATGGAGATGTCCCTGGAGGATTTCCGCTCCATCCCCAGACACTTTAACAGACTTTTCCAGTAGCTGTACTGGCCACGAATGCATCCCAAGTCCTCAGGACTACTTAATCATTAAAAAATGCTTGCTTTTATAACATGTATTATGTTTAAAAAAGTACACTCACCAGAGGTCCCTTCTCCGGCTTCATTGGGTTGGGAGGGTATTTCAGCCAGGGTGATAAAAAGATTCTGTCTGTCGGGGAGAATGGTGTGCTGTGTGCTCTCCCCTAAGCTCGTCCTCCTCCTCCTCATCTTCCCCATCTGCAAAATCCTCAGGAATGGCGAAGAGTACTCCATCATCGGAGTCCATGGACAAGGGTGGGGTAGTGGTGGCGGCCCCCTCTAGAATTGCATGCAGCTCAGCGTAGAAGTGGCACATCTGGGGCTCTGTCCCAGAGCGTCCGTTTGATTCTTTGGTTTTCTGGTACGCTTATGTGAGCTCCTTAAGTTTCATGTGCCGCTATGTTGCGTCCCTCGTGGCCTCTGAGATTTTTTGAAATGTTTTGGCATTTCGTTTTTTGGAACGATAGCACGGATTTCTGATAGCACGGATTCCTCTCCCCATACAGCAATCAAATCCAGTACCTCCCTTTCGGTCCATGCTGGAGCTCTTTCGATTCTGGGACTGCATGGTCACCTGTGCTGATGAGCTCGCCTGTCCAAACAGGAAATGATATTCAAAAGTTCCCGGGGCTTTTCCTGTACACCTGGCCAGTGCATCCGAGTTCAGAGTGCTGTCCAGAGCGGTCACAATGCTGCACTGTGGGATAGCTCCCGGAGGCCAATACCTTCGAATTGCGTCCACACTAACCCTAATTCGAAAAGGCGATGTTGATTTCAGCACTAATCCCCTCATTGGGGAGGAGTACAGAAATGGGTTTTAAGAGCCCTTTATGTCGAAAAAAATGGCTTTGTTGTGTGGACGGGTGCAGGGTTAATTCGATGTAACACTGCTAAATCCGACATAAACTCGTAGCGTAGACCAGGCCTAAGGGTCTATCTGGATATAAGAGCTGCCTATTAAGCACTGTGCAGGCGCTCAGGGCTGCGACAGGGAGAGATGCCTCTCTCCAAGCTCCTGGGACCTGTCGTGGCACCCTTCTCCTACCCCTGACCCCGAACGTGCTGCGGCCAGGGGACAGGCACCCCTCCCCCAGCCCAGCCCCGAACCTGCTGCGGCCAAGGGACAGCACCTCTCCCCTAGCCCAGCCCGGCCCGGATGCGGGAGAGGCGCCTCCCCCCCCAGCCCAGGTGCTGCTGCAGGGGGAGAGAGCTGAGGGGGGGAGTCCTCTCTCCCCACTGTAGCCCCAAGGAGCCCAACTGCACTCCAAACCCCTCATCCCCAGTCCCAACCCAGAGCCTGCACCCCCAGCTGGAGTCCTCCCCTACCCCCTCCTGCACTCCAACCCTTGTCCCAGTCCTGAGCCCCCTCCCACACTCCGAACCCCTCGGCCCCATCCCGTCATATGAATTTTGTTATTCATTCCACACATGGGTGGGAAAAATTAGAGGGAACGCTGATCTGGATGAATCCATGGAGGAAAAGTCCATCAATGGCTGTTAGCCAAGATGGTCAGACATGCAACCCCTGCCAGAAGACAGGAGTGGAAGATGGGGTGGATCACTCCATAGTAGCCCTGTTCAGTACATCCCCACCTCCCAAAGTTCTGGTATGGACCACTACTGGGGACAGGATACCGGGCAAGATGGACCATGGTCTGACCTAGGATGGCAACTCTTATGCTCTTATGCCAGTACAAGGCAAGAAATATATAGCAAAGACTGAAACTTAGACTTTATATTACACCATGGATAGCTGTGCCTGGGGAATGAAACTGACATGGTTCACTTTTGGGAACTTGGAGAACTTTACGTACTAGGCACCTACTCATGCCTAGGGACAATCATTAGAAGTCAGTGATGATAATTTAGTAAAGTCTGAATTTTCTGACTTTTGTCAGTTTAAGACCAACCTTTTCTCTCATTTTAACATAATTTTAGTGTGTAAAGTTTGACATATTACACTCCTTAAATATCCATGTAGTAATTCTTCAGACATCCATTAGCAAACAAAGCTGTCTTTCTTTATATCCACACAGCTCTTTTCATAAAACTGCATTAAAATGGAAGCTATGGATTAGAATCCCGAAGACATATGACATCATATTACACCGAAACATGAAGAACCACCTAAGGCACAACTCCTCCTGGAGTTTCTCCTGGGGTCCACCTCTTTCAATGAAGCTAAAACGTAATAAATGCAATTTTACCCAATATACTTGATTCTTAAGGAATCCAAATAATAGTTTGGAACCAGTATTGTCTACATCTAACACATCAACAGTGATATGGGGGGTAAACACAAAAACATGACATCGCTATCTGTCTGCATCAGCATTTTTCTTCATAATTCCACATTGCACTACTACCAGTAGAGTTGCACTGATCGGGCACTAGTGTAAAGAGGCCATTGGCGATATCACTATACTATTTAACACTGGCTGCCAGCCTGCATTTGTGCTACCACTAGTGATAGTACACAAGAGGGAAATTTGAAGAAAAATGCTGATGATGACAAAGCCCTGAAAAGCATAAAAAATAAAAACACAAAACTGTAAAAGCCAAAAAATGAAAAGCTGATTTTTGGGTAAGCAGCCTCTGATTTAAAACAGGAATAGGAAAGTTAATGTCATGTTGCTAGACAACAGTATACTGATAAGGCAGGTCATCTCCTTTCTGAATAAGGTAGAAGAGTGTTCTGATTTATTTTGCTAATTGGACAAATTCTGTGTGCAATGCGTGTGTTTTCATGTGAAAAAAAATATGTATCTGAATGCTGTTTAGGTTTTCAAACCAGAACACATTTATTGCACAAAGAATTTGATCGGACAATGGGAGGGGGGATATCAAAAGAGCTCTGGGCCTTTAGGAAGGGAAAGGAACTCTACACTAGCATTCTATCAACATGATGCCAATTCTCTCCTTTTCTTACCCATAAGACATCTCTAATTGACTTTTCATTTTGTTTTTTCAGTCTTCCAGAGGTTTGTGTGTTAGGCCTCTTGACCATACAGGAGTATTAGATTCCCCGCCCCCCCCCGCACGTGGCTGTCACTGTTCTAGGCTGCTGACCATTTGGATTTTTAGTACAGGATCCAAAATCGTACTCGCTACACTCTCAAATGAACTCACACAGGAAAATGATAAAAGACAAAAATACTCTATCACCTGTTGGTGAACACTTTTCACAATGCGATTACTCTCTATCTGACCTACCAGTCCAGATCTTCAAAGGAAACCTGCACAGCACTTTCAAAAGATGAGCTTGGAAGCTTAAATGCATTACTATGCTAGATACTAAAAATCATGGCCTAAACAGACACACTGGATATATGGAAAAAGAAAAGGAGTACTTGTCGCACCTTAGAGACTAACAAATTTATTTGAGCATAAGCTTTCGTGAGCTACAGCTCACTTCATCGAAAGCTTATGCTCAATTAAATTTGTTAGTCTCTAAGGTGCCACAAGTCCTCCTTTTCTTTTTGCGAATACAGACTAACACGGCTCCTACTCTGAAACTGGATATATGGTTTATCACAAAAATTTGTAACCCACAAACCCCTTCTATTTGTCCTATGACTGCAGAGGTGTTAGTGGGCCACTCTACCTTGAATGGTCCCTTACAATGTGTGCTAACTACTTATGCTAAACCTGTTCCCCCTTGCATTTTGCTGTGACCAGGGAGTACCTTTCCAAACCCAAAGAAGAGTGAGCGCTATGTGGCTCGAAAACTTCTCTTTTCACCAACAGAAGTTGGGCCAATAAAAGATATTACCTCACCCACCTTGTCCCGCTACTTACAGAAAATACACATTAAAGTAGCTAAAGTTATAAGAGTGCAAAAAGTATAACCCTCCCCAAAGATTTCTTATTTTGGGGTGAAATTTGTAAAATAAAATAACTTCTTGTTACAATCTTGATGCCCAGTGCGTGTCAAGTTTCAGCTTAATTAGTTTTTATGGTCGTACTATGATCTCCTGAAAACAGGTTCATAAGGTAAAATCTGAACTGTATTTAGTTCTATCTGGCACAGGTATTTACTAGCTCCATGTAGTTTTATACTTGATTAAAATTAAACAGGAAGTTTTTTTGTTATTACGGTCTTATACTTTACAATTTATTACCAAAATATGTCTTTATTTTGAGGCCAGTTACACAGCGTTCATTAATTGTAAACCACTGCAAGAAATATGTGAGATCATTTGAGCTGAAGTGGCAGTTTTCACACCGATGGAGTTGTTAGGGCATCTAATTTTAGAGCTACAATGAAACTGTCTGGAATACCCTGAGGGAACACTACTTCAGCACTTTAATGAGGTTATACACAAAGAGAGTTTATTAAGATAAGAGATAGATGTTCATTAGATCAGTAATATGATTACAGAACATGCTGTACAGGAAGGGGCCATTGGGAGCTATAGGCAAGATGATTTAGCAAACATTATACAAAAGCAAAACAGCATTATTATACTTATTACTAAATATGCACACTTTAAAATAACATGTACTACATACCACTATCTTTTGGCTTTAAAAGTAACTTATAGACTTTCAAGCCAAGGAAAAACACATTTTAGGAAGCACTGTTCTCAGCTCACTTTAAATAGTCTAATTGTCAAGAAATCAAAGGCACCATTCTGAAATTTTGTACTTAGGACAACATATCCTTATTTCCCCTGCAGTTTCTTTATGCAATTCCACCAAGGACAACCAGCCAGTATTCAGCCCTTTGGACTTCAAAGTGGGTGCATACTGACACAGGAGTTTATACAAATTAATAAAAAAGTGATAAAATTTCAAGCAGGATCATGGAAATTATTCCTTTTCTCATTGCTGCATACTGTACAGAGAAGAAAGCTTTATGTCCGGCCACAAATAGCTAACATCTACCAATAAGTAGTGTCTGAGAACTGTCTGCATTCATAAGAAATGGGTGGTAGTCTATATATGTTGATACTGTTTCTGCTGACATTTTTGATGCTTCAGAAGCAAATGCTTTCCAATGCTTTGAAATGGAAGCAACAGCACAACCTTACCAACTTGATATGCTGTAAGAGGGACAGAAGGGAAATCAAGCATCCCCAAAGAGATAAAGACTGTATTATGGGTAGTTGGGAGAGAATCTATTCAAGCCAAATGTTAAAGAAAAGCCTGTTCTGTCTAATCCACTCGGTGGCTATCTAGGTACTTATATGACCCTCATCTCTGTAGAATATGAGCACCACCCAATTCAAAAGAAAAACAAAAATATTCCCTGCCCCTTTCTGTAGGGATAGCTGAACGGTGTAAGAATTTTCTTCTTTTTCTTTGAATGTATGGAACACTTATTGAGGAAATGGATTGATGGTACATTATCCCTTGCAATTGGAGCTCTCTCACTTGGCAGCCATCACAAGCTGCCTTTCATGTGCTAAGGCAGACCAAGAATAAGGATTTATGGGAGCCTAACTAAGGAGAAAGTTAAGTTACTTATTTCAAACTGAATTCCAAATTAGAGGCTCATTCTTGGCCTGGCTTGATAAATTTTTATTTTTGGAGGTGTGTTTATATCAGCTTACTTAATTTAGAGTAGTGGTAATAGTTAACTCATGTAAAAACAACATCACATTAGTATAGCCAAGACCAAGGAGATTTAGCATGATCTACTGTACTGCATAAGTGCCAGTCCTATTAATTAATGCTTCCTCCCAGTTTTGGAAAGATTCTGAAGAGCAGTCCAAATTTTAGTGAGTATTATGTTTGCAAAAGCAATGTTATATCAGCTTTTCCAAATCATGCAAATATTTGGACTTCATGAGGCATAACTAACATCAGAATAG